ATTAGATAATAATGGAAAAATTTTACATTGTTAGTGTATTTAAAATAATGTATTTTTTTATTTATATATAATTCAATTATTACCAATACTTTTGAGATACTAGTTAAAAAAATGAAAGAAAAAATTTATCATTTATAATACTATTAATATATACCAATCATGACTTTTAATAAAAATTTCATTTTTTAGTATATGTCCTTAAAACAGGATAAATATTTAATAAATAATATTTTTTATTAAAAATATATTTTTTTTATAATTTTTAACATATTATATATATTTTTTATTATTTAATTTTAAACATATATTAAAGAAATTAATTGTTTAAGTAATAAAACTAAAAATTAACAAATAAATACAAATGAACAAAATTAATAATAAAAAAAACATGATTTTGGGTAATTGACAAGGCAAATGAAAGATGCATATGAATTTGAAGAGTTGGCAAAACGATGACAAGTTTCGTTAAGTGAAGTTAATTTATTGAAAAAAATTTGTGTGTAATATATTTTAAGATAGAAAGATTATATTTGAAAGTTTAAAAATAAAAATAAAAAAAATTTGAAGGAAAAAGAAAGGGAAGTTAAATCTTTTTTTTATTTGAACATTTAATATTAAAAAAAGATAGTAAAGAGTGATAGAAGGTTTAATTATATAAATGATATTATATTTTATATATTTTATTTATATTTTTTATTTTTACAAAAATTTAAAAAATAAATATTTTTTTCTAAAAATTAATAATTTTAAAAAAAATATTTTAAAAAAGTTAAAATTTTATTTATAAAAGAGTATTAGAGAATGAGAGAGAAAAAATCTCAAAATAAAGAAACTCAAAAAACAAAAGTTGTGAAAGTTTAAAAAAGTTTAAAAAATTCATTAAAACTTGTTCTTCTTAATTAAACAAATTTTAAATAATAATTAATTTCTCTTAATTTCTCTTTCTCTTTTTTTTTTTTTTCTAAATACAACTTTCAAATATTAAAAAATTAATTTTAACTTGCTTTAAATTTAAGGACATGGCCTTTAATTTTATTTGAAAAAATAGAATCAAATTCAGCTGCCACATTCGATGCATCAGAATCGGTCTGACTTGGCGACCAATAAGATAAAAATAAAAGCGTGAAATGGATATTTAAAGGACAAAAGGAATCTCCCCATTTTGGACTAAGCCTTATCTCTTCTTAGGAGTTCGGAACCTTTACCCATTGCCCATTACCCTCTCTTCATTATTAATAATATCTTCATTCCCACGTTATTCTACTGCTTATTCTTATTATTATTATTATTATTGTTATGTTTTCATCCTTAATCCCCTAAATTATTCTTGCCAAAATTATTATGTTGTACTTTTCCTTATTCATTTTTGTTATTAGTAGGGATGAATGAAATATTATTTGTCAAAATCATTAACTTTATATAAGGTCATTTAAATTTAGTCTTCTGAGCCTAATGTGTCAAATTATTTGAACAAATATTAATAATAACATAATGTATACCATTTTTATATTAAATTTTAATTTAACACTTTAAAAAATTGTTATTTTGTTTCAAAGTTTAAGTTAGTTACTTTATAAATATATTGTGTTCATTAACTTATTTAATTAAGTAAATTTAAAAAATTATTTTAAATATCTTGTTAAAAATTATTTTTTAAGTTCAGCAGAATTTCAAAAAAGCCATATTCAGATTGTTTTATATCAAATAAATACAAAACTCATACCATACACTTAAAATATAAATCAAGCTCAAATCTCGTAGTAAAACTCCTCTTAATTTAATCAATTTCAACGCTTCAGCATTATATAGGCAATAATTGCATCATTTATGAGTTCATTTTTTTTTCTTTTTTTCTTTTTCTCTATCTCTACTCTTCTTATCTATTTCTTTATCCAATCATTTTGATATTTTTAAATTTTTTAAAGGACAATTTTTTTTTCATTTCTTTTGGAAAATGGAGAGAATCCAATTTTCATTTTACTTTCATATATTTATTCTGACATTTTCTTAAGATTACAACATTATTGGTAGAGAGAATTTTTTCTTTGATTCCCACCTTTGTTTGGTTAATTTAATGACTGAGTGTTATGAATTTCAGACATTTAAAATAGTTAAATCAAAATAAAACTTACAACATTTTATATTTCATCTCTTTCTAAGCTGCATACGTTCTTTTTTTCACGACTGGCTTATTATTTAGTTCAGATATAAGAAATAAAGAATTTTTTTGAAAGAACTGTTTTGTGCAATTCGCGAGTACTTATTTTATATTCTTATAATATAAAATCAATTTTCGAATAAATTTAAAAGGGAAAAAGAGGCCGTTATATGTGTGACATATAAAAATGAAATATATAATTTAAGATTTTGTTATTGTCAATAAAAATTGAGAATAAATAATATTTATTGTATTTTTATAACTTTAATATAATAACTGTATATTTTTTAATTTATGAATGCTTAAAAGTTATAATTTATTGAGATTTGTTTGACTTTGTAATTAAAATTTGAAAGTCCAAGTTAATTAGTAGGTGAAATATCTTTAAATAGAAGTTTGAAGTGCATTAAAAATTAAAAAAACGTTATCTAAACACAAGAATTTAATCGTGAACTGAAAGAGGAAAAGAAGACTATGAGATATAAATATGTATAATGCTATAGTTGAAATGAAAAGGAATGTTGATAAAAAAATAAAGTTGAAAAGAAAGGGGGAGAAGACTTTCTTTGGGTCGTATAAGATAAGATTGCTTTTTGTTAGAAAGTAGGCTTCCATGTCTTGGATTATCCCGTGCACGAGTATATTGAGATAAATTTATATATATATAATATGATATTTTTAGATTTAAACCTTTTTTCAAGCTTATCTAAATATTTGAAAGTTTAAAAGATTAATTTTATTTTGAAAAGATAGAAAGAAACATAGCGTAAATGGAATGTGAGAAAGTATAAGGAGGAAGAGTGGAGTGTGGGTCCGTTAGTTTTGATTGGGAGGTAATGCATTCATATTTGGTTGGTTTGTTATTGTGGCAAACCCCAGTGCGTGAGGAAACCAACCGCCATTTCTTCCTCATTTTCTCTATTATCACTATTTCTCATTCAAACTACCATTTTAATGTTATAATTGATCATTATTCTTAGCCCACTCATTAAGAAATTAGAAGAAAAAAATGTTTATTAAAAATTATAGAAATTTTTTTATTTAACATTTATCGTAACTAAAATATTAGTATACATTTAACAATTATGTTAACTTTGATTTTTAAGGTTGACTGTAACTATTTATAATAATAATTTTTTGCTAAAAAATATTATTATTATAATTTTATATGCTTAATTGTAGTTTTAAGTCACTATATTTTAACATTTCAGTCATTTTGGTCATCCTAATTTTAGTTGCTCAGATTTAATTTTTTAATTATATTTTGGTTAGTTATTAGATACAAATTTTAAGTGAAAATTTTAATTTAAATGTTTAAAAATTAAAAATAAAGAAATCGAAATCGTACGTGTTAAAATATAGGACTAAAAAGCAATTAAGTCTAAATATTTTTTCTAATGAAAACTTGTTAATTTGAACTTTAAACAACTTAAATTCAATCTTAAAAGATGATACTAATACTATTCCTAAAAATTAAGAGAAATCTTTCGACTTTCGGTCACCAAACACTTTGTAGATTTGTTCTGACGCCAATTCTAGGACAATCTACAAACACTCAGGCACAAATAAAGTAGAAAGACATTTGTGAGTTGTGACTACGACTAATAACTACCACAGTACACTCCGACTCTAACTTCTTTTGGTGACATTGACTTCCAACACTGTCCTCAAACTTTAAGGTGATTATTAGACTTTAATTACTTCATTCACAATTATTATTATTGTTCATACTTATTAGCGTGTACTGTACTCGCAGAAAGTTTCAGTTTCGTAATTCATTCATCATAAATTCATAATGTCTCCCTCTGATGGATCACCCAAATGAAATGGTTTGAAAAGCAAGCATAAAAATAAGAGCAAAATTTGTGTACAAGGAAATGGCCCAAAGTTGTCTTGGGTCTAACTCATCCAGCTCACTCCAAAACAAAGCTCAACCTAATTAATCCTATTTTTTTTGTGTAATGCATCAGCATTTTAAAAGGCCTTCTTTGACATCTATAATTTGTTACGCCCAAGTTATTTATTGAATATTGTAGTCAAATCAGCAATTTACTACTTTTTTTCACTTTCAAAGTCCTAATCATAGTTATTGTCATTATAGTTTTTAGTCTCAGTAATCTATACAACAAATTAAGGATGATATATTTTGAAAGTTTTGGTTATTGCCTCTCTTTTATTTTTGGAGTGTTTATTGGTCAAGTTGTTATTTGGATTTGTATAGAGTTAGATAAATATTTATCTGAAAACTTTGATGTTGTTTTGGAATTATCATCATTTTTTGTCAGGTATGTATTAGAATGAAGAACGAAAGTCAAGGTCTGAGCTGTTAGAATTGCAAGGTGTTACTTGGATTATGGTGATCCTCCATTCGATCGTCATATTCAACGGTTGGGATTTTGCAGGATATTGGCTGCACCAAAACCTTGCTGGAGAGGATCCAAAGTGATATGTACCGTATCAGGTGTTTTTGTACAAGGTAATTTCTAAACTATTTGTGGGCATAACACTTGTTGATGAAAATAAAAGACTCGTTGAGTTTCAGAAAGCTTGGCTATGATGTTAGAATATAATTACAACGGTTGATTAGAATACTAACAAATAAAATTATGATAAAATATATGAATATGTTTATCAAAATAATTTAAAATTTCACCTATTGATTACTTTGGAGGAATTAAATCCGCATGTTAGACCCAAAAGGCATAGATTTCCATGGTTGCCCATTTTTAGCTTGGTCTGGAATCCGGCACCACAGGTAAAGTCCATTCATATACAGTTCAGTTTGCCAATTAAGCCATACCTCTTGATTTGATTCATAGATTTCTGTTGAATTTCTATCTAGACACAAAATCCCATGTATTCTCCAATGGAGTCTTCATTAGATTTGCTTAAGTTTCAATTCAGAAGATTTTAAGCTAGCAGGCTTAATTAAATGAAAACATTCCTTATAGCACCCTCAATCGCCATTTCGTCCTATACATGCAATTTTCATACCTTCTGTCATGGGAGTTGGGAAGATGCTTTTTACGTTAACTCTATTGCATCAATATGACCTAGTGGATAAAGAATTAGCAGAATAACATAACAAATCTAAATGGTAACTCTCTGGACATAGCTTTCTCTCATTTCTTATTGCCATCAATCTTGAACGTCTGAAAAAATCAAGTTAAAGGGCTATGATTTGAATGGGCAAAATCTGATATTTTCTTGATTTTTTTAAACTAGTGTGAGTGAAAAACTTCCCCTGAATGAGTATGATGTATCTCTATGCATCTAAATCAGTGGATTAGAAAGCACATGAATGCTTCGCTTTCAAGTATGATGTCTCAAAATACATCAAATAATTAATTGGTCACCATGGTCATCACTCTGCCATTCCTATAAACATCTATTTAACACCCTCTCTCCAAGTATTAGAAAGCATTTTATACTGCTAGTAGTCATCATCTTCATCTCTTGACCCTAAGAACCTCCTCAAAACTGCAGCAGCAGCACCAAGAAACATAAACAGAAGAATAGTTTCAAATCCACCTCCAACGCCTATTGCTACACTGGGACCTGGTGCATAGAAAGAAAATGGAGACCATCCCCAGCCACCATAGAATGGCCCACCAAAACCATAGCCATAACCACCTAGCGGAGGCGCCACCGGAGGATTGACATAGATGTTGGTCCTATCAATTGACATGAATTTCAGATACAAGAACTTCATATGGTCATATAAGTGATACGTGTAATATGGAATTAGCGAACAAAAGTTCCAATGTTCTATCAAACTATCCAATCCAAAGTATAGAAGACATTTCTTTTCTTCCAATATGATCTCTAATGATACTCCAGGATATGGATATTACACATCAACTATAACTAAATAGAACAGTTCTATCCAGTATACTACTGAAAGATATATAACATTAACACCTTTGTGCCTATGATATATTTTTCAGAAATAGAATCCAACAGAAAGACTATTAATAATTGCGGCTTTGGTTATAACTTATAAGAGTATGATAAAGTAACTAAAAGCATAACAGAAAAGATGAGTATTGCAATAATCATAACAAGCAAAATAAAAAAAATTAAAAACAAACCTAGAATTGTTGTTGATTCTTGGTGAGGAGCGGGGAGCTGATGATTTGAAGGCCTGGCCACCAATTCTACCACCAGTTTTGGCAGCTGAAGCATCATGAATTGAGCCTAGTGTTAACACCCCAGCGGCCAGTGCAACCATTGCTAACTTTGCCAATTTGTTCTCATTCTTCCTGTTAAAACAATATTGAGTTAAATTAATCCTAATCCTAGGAAAACATGAATGAAAAGAAAAAAAAAAAACATGTTATGTTTGATGCCTTGGAGGTTGTTGGTCATGTGAGGGGCAACTGCGGCAAACAGTTTTAACTGAAGGGAGAGTAACAGTGGTGCTCCTAAACTTTGGCTTGTGGGTGAGTGGAATAAGGGCGTTGGTGAGGAAGCTATGGTGTGAGGAGGCTATGCTGGACATTTCTGGAATCAACCAAGATTTTGCTGTCAGATGTGAATCTTAATGTGAATTGTGATTGTTGTTTCGTAATTCTCTTGTGCTCAAACTCCAACAAACCCTTTTTTTTTTTATCACAAACCAAGCCAAGTTGTCTTTCCTCATCCTTTTTCTTGGTTCTCCAGATGCCACGCGGCACCTTTGCTTATTATAAATCTCTCAATATAATCCGAGTTCCATGAGAAGAATTATTAAATAAAGTATTTTTAAGAATTAACTATTTTTATCATGCGAAATATGTTTTATATTATATATAAATTTAAATTTAATTTTATAATTTATATTTGATTTTATTTAATATAATAAAATATTTATTATTAATCATTATATTTTATTTTTCAAAATTTAAAATAATTTAATAATAATTTTACACTATATAAAAAATACTACTTATTATTATGCTTCAATTTTAAAAATTCTTTTGTCTAGTATTTTCCTTTTCATCCCAAAAACAAAAAATACCCCTTTCTGAAAATCTTGGCCCAATTATGTTTTCTGTCCTAATTCAGGAAAGAAAATATTTCCAAAGCACCTACCCAACCCAAAGAATAAAATAGAATAAGATAAAATAAAAATGACTTAGTCAAAATGATGTGCTTACAAATCCAATATAAACTGGGCCTTCAAGCCTTTTCTGCTTTGTTCCTTTGTTATATGGGCCATAATCAACAATCCTACCAAAAACAAAAGTGCAAACCTTGCTAGGTGGGTTTTTTTCGCAAAACCCTTTGAAATATTAATTTTAAAAGTGATTTTAGACTTTAGTTTTTTAAAATAATTAATATATTTTAAAAATTTGTTTTAAAAGAATGTTATAATTGAAAAAAGGTTGTATAACAAGAAAAGCCTCTTGCTAGGAAACAGGAGCAACATGGAATGTATGGAAGTGGGCAGTGGGTGCTGTTTCCAGAGTGTCTCTCACCTCTGCACATTATTACATTGATCATCCGCTTTCCATCCATTTTGCATAAAAAACAAACTAATTTTATTAAAAATAAAAGCAATCCATTTTTTGTTCAACTTTTCTTAAAGAAATATTTATTCATTTCTTTTAGTTTTTGAGGGAACTTCAAAAGGATAAATAACAATTTCTCCAAATTTAATCTGAACGAAACATACTAATAAGAAGTGCTCTAACCGGTGATTAGAAACATTGTCTAGTACCAAAAGAAAAAGACAACCCCACTTGAACTAAAGTTAAAAGAGAAGAAAACCAGGACCATGACTTACATTTGACCAAATCAAATGTAAATGCAAATTCAAATCCTCCTGTTTGAAAACAGCACTGTTGCGGACAGTTCATAGAGACCACGAAACATATAGCCTTAAAAAAGCTCACAAATTTTTTAAACTTTCTTCCCCTTTAGCAAGCCTCTATGCTGTAGAATATGTTCCATAAATTGATAATCGCCAATCCAAGAGTGACATGACAGAAATTACCGGAGAAGAAATGCTACAAGGTCTCAATGTCTGCTTTGCAAAAGACGCAAATCGCTTCTGCTGAGAAGTGTTTACCTTCCTCTTAAGCAACTTGAGTTTTGTTGACTATCTATCAAACAAGTGATTTAACACTTCCACTTTTTTGTGAAACTGACAAAATTAAAGGTGGTGTGAATGCATGCAAATGTTACACGATGATAAGATTTTTTTTCAAAAAAAATAATTGTTATTGTGTTAACAAGAGGAAATTTCAATCAACAAAATCAGACACAATTAATAAATAATTCTATCTACGTTTTGAAGAAATTAATCTTTAGCTATCAGCTTTGGTTCCAAAAGAAAAGGTTACTGCATGATTTACAGTCACATGAATGATTAACTCTGACTGCAATTACAAAAGTTAATTATTAACTTTTTAATTCATTATTATTAACAGCACTCTAGTAATTTTAAAATGTTTTCATAATTGAAAAGATAGAATATTATAATATAGTTTAGATATGCATTTGTTCTAGTAGATTAATGATAAATGTTAATTTTTTATTTGAATATAAAGAAATACGTTAATATTTACCGTTGTACATATTCTCTTGTTAATGAATAATGAATGCGTGGTAGCTTTTTTCCTTTCTTTATGGATCTTAAAAGCTTAACACAAAAAATGATACTTAATCTTCAACCATTTCCCCTAGCTTTAATTTAAACCAATCCAACCACTCCACCTCCTTCGTTGCCTTACCGTTCCCGCAACTCTCATCAATGGCTTCCTTTTTTAATCTTCTTCCCATACACTATTACAAAAGATTTCGATATTGTTTAGTAGTCAAGAGATTGCAAGTGATTTTTTAATATTCATATTTTAACTAAGAATGAAACTAGTAGTAATAAAAAATATTGTATTGAATACATACTAAATAAAAAATTATCACATTACGCACAGTAGAGTATACAAAATTCTATGAAAACTTGACGTGTAAATAGAAACTTGCTTACGAGTTGAGTGCTAAAAAATTTTGGAATGTGAAATGAAGGAATATGACGCTGATAGCTTTTGAATGTGAAAAGTGATTGATAGTCGCAATCGAAAGATGTTTGGGGAATAAGGATTGATGTTGCTTCATCAAATATCCAAAGACTGCGATTCGAGCGTAGATATTTATTTATTGCATCACAAAAGTGTCGTAAAAAGAAAATGCCAATTCATGCCACTATCAAATTAGTTATCGTTTAGTTAAATAATTAATTTTATCCAATGCTTTTTTATTTTTTGATTTGATAAATTATCTTTCGGCTTATAATTTGTAATTAACTTTTAAGTTTGACAAATCTGTGGTGCCTTATTAAATAAATCTATTACTGTTTACAATTTTGGTGCATTAATTAAATAGTAATAAGCTATGTGCAAGTCAATCTTTCAGTTATTGTTTTGTTTATATATTTAAAAATAATCTTATATGACTTATATAAATATAATTTCAATAGATTATTTTGCAAAAATTGAACTGCATGCTAGGATAAATTTGGTAAAAAAAAAGAATATTTCTGAGGTTATTTGTTCAATTCTTGCCTTTGTCAAAGTTGATATTCCTTACACTTAATATCTTGCTCAATATTTATTATTGATTGAGGTTATGCCTTTGTCATTAAGTTATCTTACATCTTCTCAACGTTTGTGTTTGCTCACAAAGTGAATAGGCTTTTTAAAATTATGCAATAGACTTCGATGATTTTTTTTCCCATTTTTTAAAAATTAAAAATTATTTCAAATAATTAAATAAAGTTTAAATAATAAATGCGGTGACTAAATATTATCACATATTTAAATTTTATATACCTACTTATAAAATGTGCCAAAACTTTCTATAACCTAAATGTACCAAAGCAATCACCTCTAAATTTTAATTAACTTATCAATTATTAATTATTAAACTTTAAAATTCTAAATGTCGAAATAATGGAACTCCATAATTATCATTAATCAACTCTAACGCATGATATCTATTATTTGACACACAAATGGCTAATTTGCGCTTTCTCTTCTCTTATTTTGGTGCAGGAATGGACAACGTAAGTAACAACACGCATTGCAACAAAGAAACATTTATAGGAGAATTCTTCCAAAATCAGCTGGGACGAACTCATCCAAAATTGAGAGATAATTTACTTTTCGTTTTATTTCTAGTTAATAAGATAATATATAAATTAAAAAATCAACAATGTCTTTTTTTATATTAAAGTTACTCATGCTTTTTAATACAACATTTATTGTAGCCTTTTCGTTTGTGAAAAGTGTATGAATTATTTAAAATTATATAAAGATAAAAATATAATTAAAACTATCTTAATTTTTAAAATTTTCTAAAAAAACAGAGAAGTAATTTAATTTTCCCAATTTATCTTTTTAAATAATCCAATTTTTCCTACTCTTTATTTGAAACATTTCATCTTTTCATTCTCAATTTATATTATTATCTCACTTTCTCTCTCTCCTCCCCTTATCTATATTTTATACATTTATTATAAAGTAAAATTGTAGCGCAATCTCTCAAATTAACAATCTATATATTTAAATACACTATAAAAAGAATTCTGTTTCTATCTCTTAATTTATAAATAACTTTTTTTGCCAAAATTTAATGTTAATTAACTAATTTAACATTTTCCAAGAATATTTTATTTTATCCAAATTAAAAGTGTACCCCATACAATTGAAATAATTCACTCTTTCCACTGTTAATTCAAATAAAGAATTTTCACATCCTCACACTAGAATTTAATGTTGTTTCGTTACATTCTGTAACCATCACATATCTTGAAGATGCTTTTCTATGTAACTGGTTTGAAATCTAAAACCTTAGTGGAGTGGGGCGAATGCTTGATTCCTCTACCCTTCAGTTAAACATGTGTACCTTCTGAAACGCAAAATCCAAAAGTGTAGCCCCTCGGTCTCATTATGGAAAATTTGTCTAGTACTTGAGCATTAATGATATGTGTTTGTTCCTTTATAAGGGCCATAAGAAAATGTTGATCATTTGAGCAACTCGCGAAAAAGCAAGCCAGTTGTATCATAATTTTTTACCTGCTGGCAAGGGTCTTAATGATGCATGACTTTGCTGGTCCAAAAAGAACACTTCTTAGATTCCGTAAACAAGGCCAAAGCAAGTGTTCAGATGCAGTGGTTGTGAGAAAACAAAGCAGAAGATCATTGAACACAGTACCTTTTTGCGTTAACTCTAACATACAAATGAAAAATATGAAGTTACAGCTTTTAGTTTAACTGACATATCTTTTGCAAGTGTAAATTATTGCCCGTCTATATAAACTATACTAAAATAAACATTTTCATTCAATTGGAGATAATTGGAGAAAGAACCATTGTTATAATTACTACTTTCTTCTAGCCGTTTTTTTTTTCCATTCTCTTCTCCCTTAAACAGTAGGAAAAAAAATATGCATGTAAAACCATATTCAAATTATACAACAGTAAAATTAATTAATGTAACATAGCTTCTGGGAATTGAATTTAACATAGCTTATGGCGTAATTTTTGGAAATGCAAGACACATGTAAGTTAACGCGTTTCTGCCAGAAGGCACTGAAGAACATTCACCTGCATTTGCAAACAGCTTACATAACTCTCAAGCTCTGCAACCATTTGTTCATCACACATTTTTTCTGCCCCTCCAGGTATCAACCTTCTCAACCTCTTCAACTTGGTGTTGATGTCCTCATCTTTATCATCATCATCTTTTTCTTCGGCTAAATCCCTTTTAACTTCTGGCATGTCCTTGGATTCACACTTGCTCCCCAAAATTTCCACCTGGGACTTTGTGCTAGGGTTTGAAGAGAAACCCAGTGGAACATTTTCATTTTGGTCATAACCTCCTGTACCAGCCTCATTTGATTCAACAAAGCTAGTGTTCTTAACTGCATTGACATGATCCCTTTGGAGCTTCACGTTAAGGCCATTGCTCCATGCAAAACCTTGGGCTGACAGCACCATTGCCATGTCCACTTCATACTTAACAGCATTGTTAATATCACAATGGCCGTTATCTTCTATAGAACTCTTTTCCTTTATCTTCATCAATGCTGGAACTAAATAGTTCAAATAATTCCTAGTAAATATAGACTGTACTATTTTGCTTGGTTCAAGAGAGTAAACACGCCTGCGTTTAGCTCTTTGGGCCTCCATTCAATCCAGCAATTAAGTTGGACAAGAATGCTGCCAATGAAGAAATCAAAAAGACCTTTTTGTTCCCTAAAGAAAAAATTTAAACAGTAAAAGGGATTATAGAAGAGGATGAAGAAGGATGGTTGGTGTGATAGTGGAAGAAGATGTAGGATAAAGGGGCAAAGACAAAGCAAAATAATAATAGGACATAGTGAAAGTAAACGAGAGAAGGATACCGAAGAAGCTTGCTTGTCAGCTATATATGATAGGACATAATGAAGGTAAAATAAATAGGCCTTTAAAGTACTAGTGCTTGTTCTGGGGAGGTAACAATTGAAGGCAGTTGAAGTTATTGGTTCAGGAACTGAAGTTCACCAAAGTTTCCTTGACCAATGCACAAAATATTAATTGGAGTGATATTGAATTATGATTACTACCACAAGTAAGTAAGAATGAAGGCACAAGCTAGCAGAGAAATTAAAGATGGCCAGAGGCCTAGAAACTGAGTCCAGGGTGAGAGTGATTATAGGGAGTGAGTAGTGCACAGCACAAAGATTTGTGTGCAAAATGTTGGGAGTGGTCTATTTATTTAGAATGGCACATGGACTCACATGCTTCTTGCTTTCCACAACTGCCCACAGAAAGGAGTCTATCGCATCCCATGTGCACTGGAAGACAAAGACAACAAAACCCCACTATAAATGCCTTCACATGACTCCACCTCTTTAACTGGTACTCTTTCCCTTTGCTCTTCCACCCTCTCCCCTACTTACAAACCTTTTCTTCTCATTTCAAATCAACCAGCTCATCCTACTCCTACTCCTATATCAAGGATGCATCAAGCCACAACTATTCTTCTTAAAACCAGCAATTAAGAAATTTAAAATACAAATATTATTAATATATTTTATTATAATATACTTTTAGTGTAATTTTTTTTATAAAAGACTTTATTTATTATTTCATTTTAATCAGACCCAAACTTAGAATGATTAGTTTTAAGAATAAACTTTAGTAATATTACTACGTTGCAACGATTGTAAAACTCGGTGTCTCTTCATACATAAGGCCAAAACATATGTCCATTAGAAAAAGCGAAAATAAAAAAGTTTCATTTAGGAAGCTAGATAAGTTGATCAAATCATTGACCCTCTTGCTTACTAATATATATGATCATTTGCTCCTATGAAAATATCCTACCCCATTTAAGTATTCTTTAACCCAAGAGGAAACCATAAAATGATAAAGAATTACTAAAGATGAGAAAAGAAGAATAAGAAGAAAGTTAATTCAGAAGTTTTTCCTTTTTGCTTTAGAGGATCCTATAGCTGATAGATTCCAAGTCTAAAGTAAAACTAAATGCCAACCACCCTTTGAACGTTTGTGGGACAAGTATGCATGTGAAGAGTCTCAGAACTGGGATTATTAGTATAGGGTACGCTTCCGATTCTCATAGTTAATAATTGTTACTACTTATTGGTAATCGATCTTATTCTACCTGAGGCGGGAACAGTGAGGCTATGAATGACATAACCAAGTGTGTGGGTAGGGCCATTTGGCATGTCAAAGTTGAAAAGCAAGCATGTAATTAACCGTGGCAGGAACGAAATTAGGCACTAACATTAATTGAATGTTGGAGTAGTACTAGAGATTGCCTTGACGAGTCATACACAATTAACGGGTAAGTGAAATTGTCAGAGGGCGATTGATTGGTCTATAGTGGTATAGCTTTCTTGAATCGTGAATTGTGATGAAGATGGAGAAATAGTAATGCTGTACTCACATTATGGAGATGGAGAAGTTGGGGATATAAAAACTCCAAAAGGTGACAAGACATCATAGATGGAGAAGCTTGCTCATTTTTAATTATTTAATGTAAATTAAACCTCAATTATAGCTTCTAATTAAAATTGCACGTATCTTTTACTTTAATTTCTAATTTGATAACATGTTATTTTCTTTTATTTGTATTTACGGTATTATTTTATTAATATTAAAGATATTCAATAGGTTAAAAAAATGATTCTAAAAATGCATATAATTTCAAAATATAATAATAATAATAATAATAATAATAATAATAATAATAATAATAATGTCGTTATTATTATCTATATTTATTTAAATATTTCAGATTATTTAAATTAAAAAAACTCAGGGTGACTCGAAGTCTAACTAATATCACTGAATAAATTTTTTAAAAATATTAACTTGGCCTACTTAATAAATAGATATACTCTATTGGGTCTCACCAACAAATTATCTTATTTTCACTCCTAATAGTTACAGGAATTTGGTTTCAAGGCTCAAATGTATCCAAATAAATTATTTATGTCAGTAAACATTTACACGAAGCTATATATTAAAAAATACACCAAGCAAATAACATGCAACTACCCCACATACAGAAATACAAATGACGAAGATAACTTTGTAATAAGGATGTGCTTTCTTTATATTAATTAAACCTCTTTATATTTATGTTAATAAAAAAATTTTGCCTATAAAAGACTTTGTAATGTACCATGAGAATTATATTAATTTTGTAAATAAAATGTTGGGAGAAATATGCTCTTCTCATCTCTCGTTTTCCCTGTGTGTGTAAGATTTGTTAAAAGTATGCCTCAGTGAATAAAATAAGCACCATCAAATTAAGGAATTCTCTTAATAAAATTTGACAGAAGATATTATGACATGACCGAAGAACTTTTTGGCGAAATCCCTACCAACCTAATCGTATCTAAGATTATAATTCTTCCATATAAATAATATAACCAGTTAAAGTATGGGATACAAACAAAAGAGAAATAGCATGATCTCCAAAGAATGAATATTCAGCCAGGCTATATATAATTAATCTGGCTATGTATGTTGCTTATATAAACAAAAAGATTTAAAAGATATGGTTGGATTTTGAGGGGCACCACATGGGGACTTCACCCACGAAGAGTTTTGTACTTTAGCCTAATTGTAGGTAGTGTAGAGACGTATAGTTGAACAGTATCATCACGTGCAATCTATGCAGTTTGACTTATTTAATAGGAACAGTTTCAGCATATTCTACCTCAACACATATTCATGCTTCCCTAATACCCCTCCAAACCATAGGCACGGATGGATCCATGGCCTCTAATTCTGGATAACAAAGTTGTCTGTACGGACTCCACCCTTTGCTTTTTTTTTCTTACCTGAGGAAGAGGTTGAGAATGACATTGCAATGCTTTCTTTGTCACGAGTTGATCGATGTGAGAGGCCATAGAACCATAAAGAGGCAAAATAATATTTTCTCTGCGCAGTTTGATTTGCTAATGACTTCACATGAAGTTGGTTAGAGTGGCACCTATGTATATATATCCACATGTGCGCTTCTCCTTCAATATCTCAGATTTAACCATTGCCATAGCTCCTATATTTAGCTAGTTAACAACTTCCATGATTTATAAGCATGAGTTGTGATGTGAGATTGGTGTTACATTGATGTCCCACACATTATACATAGGATATTATTTAGAGCAAAAATAAAAGTACTTGTTATGTTTGTTTAATATTTATTTTTAAAGCAAGTAAAAATATTTAATAAATTGTAATTCTTAATCAATATCTTTTAACTTAAAGTACTCATTATCAGGATTTTATATGAATCTGAAATATGTCTTAAAAGTACTCAAATGATCTATATTATTTGTCAATTGTAATACTTCATTTCCTTAAACTTGAGATCGTGTTGATGATGATTTATTTTGATTTATTATCATATTAGTTTTTATTAATTTTTGACCCCCACCCCCTAAAAAATCCATCAAAACTCTTCTTCTTTTTTTCTAATTTTAAAATTAATATCAAACTCCACGTACCACATATGACTAAGCAAAGAATAAAATTAAGTCCTGTTATTAAAAAAAAAAAACAGACATCAAAAAACTCTAAACCAAGCTCAGCAACCATTTGCTGAATAAAATTTGGTTTATTTTCAGCATTCATAAAGTTTGATTTGATCAGGTTAGAAGTTCGTATGTTAATTTAATATCAAAGACTTAGACGAAAGTTATTTCTTTAATTTATGTGCTTTACCTAAATTGTAAAGTAAAAGCACAATGTTTGATTAGTTTGAAAAGAATGTCATTTTTATTAAGAGGGAGTTTGAATATATTTTTTCTACAAGAATATATTAGATGAGAGTTTACTCTAAGCTTAACCGTAAAATTTGCCGAAATAACTTTAAAAAACATTTTAATAAATTGTGCATGAAACATAAAAAGTTTCATAAAAGCTCTTATTAACGTACACGTACTTTGTTACCATAACTTAAAGTCGTGACCTTCACCATGTCTCCAGTATTTGCATTGCACCAAAGTGACTTCAAACATTTAAGTCTGATCAATATCATAAAACAAGGGGAATGGGTTTGCCATTCGTACGGACGAGGCTCCCATACTTCAGACTAAATATAATTAGTGATACAAACAGCAAAGCCATTCAGATGAACTAGATTAGATTTTGAGAATTAAAAGTTCTCGGGAAGCCTTGTGTGTAGACTTAAGGGTTAAGGAAAATCATTAAACAGCAGCAACTTGGGAGAATTGTCACTCGTAAGGAGAAAACGAAGCCAAACAATTAAGAATGTCAAAATCAGTTAAAAGCAAGAAAACGGATCCGAAAGCAATAATGAAATGGGAACGAGGTGAATTTTGATTTAGCAATTAAATAGGACATATATGTGTTGGGCCATACAAATTAAACTCAACTCTAAAATACCCGCAAAGCAACTTCAAATTGGGATCAATTTGAACAACCTTATCCTATTCGCTTGACTTAAGGCACACGAAATTGTGCATGTCAAAACGAAGTAAAATTGTCCATCAATAGTTTCATATGTTGAGTTTAATTGATTTAGTATAATGAAAAAATCATTTTTTTTGTGATTGACAATTTGATGTATTCAGTTCAACAACTGAATGGGGTCACATTTATTAAGGAGGGAATCGGCAGGTGTCTAAGTGGGTAATTAAACTTTGTGCCAA